TTCAGTCCAATTGAGGAACTAGTAAAACTGCATTATCCAGACATCAAAGCTTAGAAGAGGATGCTTACACCAAGGAACTTACTAGATTTCTAACAAGTGGAAAGTTACCAAGTGTCCAAAAATTAACCACTTCCATGCCAGCTAATTCTCGTTTTTGAGATGTAGATTGTTTCAGCATTGGTTAAAAATATCATTGGAACATTTTTCAGAATGACTGTTGCTTTTTTTCTTAACATCTTTCAGATTGAGACTATCATGCCATTGAAAGCAAGGTAATTAAACAATGTGAAGAATAATGTATTTTAGTTTATTTCAAAATAGTCAATAGTCAATAGTTTTGCCTTTTTTTTTTTGGTCTAGAATTTCTGAGAAAGTATAGATAGATAGACCCACTTTGCAGAGAATAGTTGAGACATAGACAATGGATAATATGCCAGCTACAGGTGGCAGTCAATTCAAGTAGGACTGGTATTGCTAAGTTGTACTGTAAGATTGGTCCAAAGGGTAACCTTGAGACCTGCCCATTCCTGGTGAGCTGTGGGTGGAGGAGAGTTCTTAGGTGAGTAACCTTGACTTCCTTAAACCTTCGTCAGCAGTCCTGAGACTCTGCCAGACCTAAGTGTATCCTTGTGGATTGAAACAAAATTATACAAATATATGCAGATAATGTGCCAAAGCACTTCGATTTTGTACAAATCTTGCTGTTTAGATATTTCTGAGGATGTATGTAAACAAGCCATAGGTGTTCACAAGCGGCTTATAATTTTGTTTATGTAAGCAGTCACCCAGAGATACAGTTGGTGATGGGAGGAGGGTGGGGCAGGTTTGCTTTTTGTCATCCATGGGTGCTCTGCCTGCCTGTTCCTGTGAAATCTGGAATGTGGCTTCCTCAGGAACACATCATCATCTGGAGGTTATGGACCACATCATTGAGATTTGTTTTTAAAGTTTTTTTTTTTTAAGGTTTTTTTATTTTTACTTTAAAAATTTTTTCTTATTTGTTTTTCGTACTAGGAATTGAACTCAGGACCTTGTGCTTGCCAAGCAGGTGCTGTGTCAGGAGCTATATCCCCTGCTCTATTTTTAAATTTTTTTCCCCTTTTTGAGACAGAGTTTCACTATGTATGTAGCACAGGCTGGCTTGAACTCACTTTGTAGCCCAGGTAGCCATGCTCCTGCCTCAGCCTGAGTGCTGGGATTATAGGCGTTATGCCACCATGCCTGGCATGAGATGTCCTTTTTGAAATGATCAATTTTTATGTACCACATTTTGTTTCCTTAGAAGGTTTAACTTCCCACATTGTAGGAGGAAGACATTTTACAACAGTTCTGTGACTGCGAAAGGTCATTATTGCAGGGGATAGCTGTGCTTTCCCATTCATTGCCCCTGTCTGTCAGTCAGATGAACACATGGTGGTCTGACTTCTGGTGGCACTGTTGTGATCTGGGCACACATGAACATATCAGGGTTGTAGAAACATAGGTTCCTACCACATAGAAATGAGAGTCAAAAGAAAATTGCTGTCAATTTTCTGTTCTCCTCTTCATGGTTGTCTCAGGAGACTTCGTCTCAGTGTGTAAGAAACAGCTGTGCAATAGCTAAATCCTGCCGGCCAGAAGACCACATATATTGAGGCATCCAGGCTAGCTCCTTATTTCAGCTGGAAAGTCGCTGAAGAATTTGTAAGACATAACATGAAGTTAATAACACATTACTATAGCTGTTACAACTGTAGGTCCTTTAGGGTGTCACTTTTCAGCCTTGTTCTTGGCTTTAAAATGGCTTAACTCAGCTCTTGTGTATTTGCTCATGCATCTAGCCCATCTTCTCTCCACACGTCCCTGACTCTAGCTAGTTCCCGCCAGTTGCTCCTGAGTTTTCTGGGGAGAGAAGGGCCTTTGGGCATGCTTCTGTCTTAAAGTGCACTGCATTTTTCCAGGTATCAGCTAGCCTGGAACTTCTCCATTGTTGAAGCCTGGACTTGGGCACCTTTCATATGCTTCATAGTCACTCCATTATTTATTCCTTTTGAAATTGTGCAACCACTGTGCCAGAATGAGGAAGATACAGCAGTGAACTAGAAGCAGTAGCTTTATCCTCAAGGGCTTCCATGCTTGTCAGGAAAACTACCTCATATTTATACCTTTAAGAATTTTTTTAAGCTGGGTGTGGTGGTGCACAGCTGTAATCCCAGCACTCAGGAGACTGAGGCAGGAAGTTTGCCACAAGTTTAAGGCCAGCCTGAACTACAAAGTGAGACAATTTTTTTTAAATTTAGAAATAATTATAAACTTATAGAGCATCACGACAATAGAAAACAAAGTAATGCGCTATACACTTTACCCTTGTGTGACTATTATTAACATTTGATTCAGTTGTAGTCTTTTCTTTTTTGTACTAGGGATCAAACTCATGATCTCATGCTTACCAGGCTGGCACTGTGCCACTGAGCTAAATCCCTGGCAGTCATTTGTATTCTTACCCTTTTTTTTTTTTTTTTTAATTTAAGGAGAAAAGAAAAAAAAAGTGAAAGGGTACAAGTTATACAGATTTACAGAAGAAAAAAATGAACAGTAGGAAATCACTAGTTAATGGATTACATATTGCCATCTTAAAAATAATTGTTCAAGTCACAAAATTAAAGCTTGTAGAGTGGACATTCCATCAATGATACTGCAAACAGTTCTGTTCAATGATCCAATAAAACTCTGTGATATCATTTTCTATCTTATACACTTAAATATACATGCAGTTATATAGTTTAGAGCACTTTCTTTTCCTCTCTTTTGTTACCCTTTCTTAATATATCTTTTTTCCTGGCCTACTTACATACATTATCATCCTTTTCTCCAAAATACTTAAGTATATACTTCCTAAAAGTAGAGATAGTCCCTTCTATTAGTTGACAACTTCATACATTTTTTTATTTTTGACAACTTCATAAATTTACGTGATAACTTTTTCCCTGGTTTATCTTCCCTATGTTACTTTTTCTTTTGTGAAATTGGGTAAAATACATATACATAAAATTACCAGCTCAGCCATTTTTTCCTGTGTAGTTGAGTGGAATTTATACATTCTTAACGTTGTGCGAGCAGTCACTACCATTTGTCTGTAAGACTCTTCAGTTTTGTAAAATTAAAACTCTATGCCCATTAAACAATACCTCTCTATTCTCTCTTCATCTAGTATTGGCAGCCGCCATTTTGTTTGCTGTCTCAGACTACTCTTATGTACCTCATATAATATATGAGGAATCATATTTATCTTTTTTTATTTGTCTTATTTTACTTAACATAATTATTCAGAGTTCACTTGTAGCACATGTCAGAATTTCCTTCCTGAATCATATTCCCCTGTATGTATGTACCATGTTTTCCATATCTTTTCACCCGTCAGTGGACAGACATGGGCCTTGTTTCCATGGTTTGGTTGTGACTAATGATATTGTGAGTGTAGATACACAGATATCTCTTCAAGACCCTGTTTTGAGTTCTTTTAGGTACATACCCAGGAGAAAAGTCACTGGGTCATGTTGTAATTCCTGCAACTTGCTGAGAAACTGCCGTACTGTTTACAATAGCTGGTACACTATTTTAAGTTCCTGCCAACATCATAAAAGGACTTGAATTTACATTCTCTCTGGTAATTTTTTTATTGGTTTTGTCCATGTTGAATATCATATACTCGTTGACCATTTCTTGGTCTTCTTTGGAGAAATGACTAATCAAGTTATTTTCTTTGGCCTCACCTCTCTTTTTCATTGTACAGGGGATTGAAGCCAGGCCTGTCACACCAAGTTACATTTTATATTTTGAAACAGAGTCTCAATAAGTCACCGAGTTGCCCGGCTCAAACTTACCATCCTCTTGCCTCAGCCTTCCAGAGTACTTGGATTATAAGCGTAGGCCACCATGCCCAGCTGTCCATTTGTGAACTAAGTTTGTTGTTGAATTTTAAGATTTATATATTCTGTATTAATCCCTTTTATGAGTTGTAGTCCTTTATTCTGTAGATTGCCATTTTACCTTTCAGATATGTATATGTGTGCACGTGTGTGTGATCTGTTTACATTTAGATATAAAATCTTTTTAGCCTCTTATCTGGAATATTTATGTAACCATTCATTTTATTAATATACTTTTTTAAAAGCCATAATATCCTCCCCTTTTTTAGAAAAAAGTATTTTCCATCAAATTTGTTACTTGTTTGTGTTTTGCATTTGATTGGTTCATATTGTTCCTTCTAAAGCATATTACTGCCTAGTGAGGTATTTTGGGGAGGGTACCACATCCAAAAGTCTGTGATTATCTCTGTTTCTCTTTTCAGTGATTTTAACTTATTTTCCCAAAGTGTTGGCTTCTTTCTCTACTGTAATTGCTTGTTTATCTATTGTCGTTTTTCCTTCCTCATTGCCTTGCAGCTAATTAATATGTCAGGAGATATCTGAATATACTGTGAATATCCTGCTTCTCACCAAGGTTTTCCGCCTAGATTTAGCATCTGGTCTTGATTTTTTGCCTGATTCATTTGAATCCACTCATGTGCCAGTTTTTTGCAGTTTGTTACAATTTATTATTTAATTACTTTGGTATTCAAATTGTCTCAGATTTGGCCAGTAAGAATCCCTTCAAAGTAGCATCCATCCCTGTGCTTATGAGATGCCCTGTTGTTTTTTTTCTTGCACAAGATGTTCCTGGATGAGCTTGTATTCACCTTGTGCTGGCCCTGGAATTAGCCATTTTTCTGAGGAGTCCTCACAGTCTTGCTTTCGCATTTAGCACATTCCTTGTTTATATATTCTGACAGCAGTCTGACTATACCTCTTTGAGAGCACATAGATGTCAGTCTTATTCCTTCATATCTTCACCTAGCATAAGGCCTGCTACATTAGATATTTACTAAATATTTGTCGAGTTCAATGATTTTTGTTATAGTTCATGGTTTAAAATTGGGTTCCAAAATGCTGATGTGTTTTCTTGTTTTCTTCTTCGTTTAGGAAAAAATGTTGGCTCTTTGGCAATAAATGAGAAGCAGTAAAAACTGACCTCAGAGTAGTGAGTGAGCACTATGGGACCTGATACTTTCACTCTGTGGGCAACCAGCCTCCACTGGTGATGTCAAGAAGCCCCTCTACTCCACTGGAAAACACTAATCTGATCTCGGAAGTGGTTGACTGTGGCAGGATGTGTCTACGATGATGATGGCAAGAAAGCAAGATGTCCGCATTCCCACCTACAACATCAGTGTGGTGGGATTGTCTGGGACCGAGAAGGAGAAAGGCCAGTGTGGCATTGGGAAATCTTGTCTTTGCAACCGCTTCGTGCGCCCCAGTGCTGATGAGTTTCACTTGGATCATACCTCTGTCCTCAGCACCAGTGACTTCGGCGGGCGTGTGGTCAATAATGACCACTTTCTCTACTGGGGAGAAGTTAGCCGCTCCCTGGAGGACTGTGTGGAATGTAAGATGCACATTGTGGAACAGACTGAATTTATTGATGATCAGACTTTCCAACCTCATCGAAGCACGGCCCTGCAGCCCTACATTAAGAGAGCTGCTGCAACTAAACTTGCATCAGCTGAAAAACTCATGTACTTTTGCACTGACCAGCTGGGACTGGAGCAGGACTTTGAGCAGAAACAAATGCCAGACGGAAAGCTGCTGATAGATGGTTTTCTTCTTGGTATTGATGTAAGCAGGGGCATGAATAGGAACTTTGATGACCAACTCAAGTTTGTCTCCAATCTCTACAATCAGCTTGCAAAAACAAAAAAGCCCATAGTGGTAGTCCTGACCAAGTGCGATGAGGGTGTTGAGCGGTACATTAGAGATGCACATACTTTTGCCTTAAGCAAAAAGAACGTCCAAGTTGTAGAGACCTCTGCGAGATCCAATGTAAATGTGGACTTGGCTTTCAGCACCTTAGTGCAACTCATTGATAAAAGTCGGGGAAAGACTAAAATCATTCCTTACTTTGAAGCTCTCAAGCAGCAGAGTCAGCAGATAGCTACAGCAAAAGACAAGTACGAGTGGCTGGTGAGTCGAATTGTGAAAAACCACAATGAGAATTGGCTGAGTGTCAGCCGAAAGATGCAGGCCTCCCCAGAGTACCAGGACTATGTCTACCTGGAAGGGACTCAGAAAGCTAAGAAGCTGTTTCTACAGCACATCCACCGCCTCAAGCACGAACATATTGAGCGCAGGAGAAAGCTGTACCTGGCAGCCCTGCCATTAGCTTTCGAAGCTCTTATACCTAATCTGGATGAAATAGACCATCTAAGCTGCATAAAAGCCAAAAAACTCTTAGAGATCAAGCCAGAATTCCTGAAGTGGTTTGTTGTGCTTGAAGAGACACCCTGGGATGCCACCAGCCACATTGACAACATGGAAAATGAACGGATTCCCTTTGACTTGATGGATACTGTCCCTGCAGAACAGCTGTACGAGGCCCACTTAGAGAAGTTAAGGAACGAGAGGAAGAGAGCAGAGATGAGAAGGGCATTCAAAGAAAACCTGGAGACCTCGCCTTTCATAACACCTGGAAAGCCTTGGGAAGAGGCCCGTAGTTTTATTATGAATGAAGATTTCTATCAGTGGTTGGAAGAATCTGTATACATGGATATTTATGGCAAACACCAAAAGCAAATTATAGACAAAGCAAAGGAAGAATTTCAGGAGTTACTTTTGGAATACTCAGAACTGTTTTATGAGTTAGAGCTGGATGCTAAGCCCAGCAAAGAGAAGATGGGTGTCATTCAGGATGTTCTGGGAGAGGAGCAGCGATTTAAAGCATTACAGAAGCTCCAAGCAGAGCGTGATGCCCTCATTCTGAAGCACATTCATTTTGTTTACCATCCAACAAAGGAGACATGCCCCAGCTGCCCAGCTTGTGTGGATGCTAAGATTGAGCACTTGATTAGTTCTCGGTTTATCCGACCATCTGACCGGAATCAGAAAAATTCACTCTCTGACCCCAACATTGATAGGATCAACTTGGTTATCTTGGGCAAAGATGGCCTTGCCAGAGAGCTAGCCAATGAGATTCGAGCTCTTTGTACAAATGATGACAAGTATGTGATAGATGGTAAAATGTATGAGCTTTCCCTGAGGCCAATAGAAGGGAATGTTAGACTTCCTGTGAACTCTTTCCAGACACCAACCTTTCAACCCCATGGCTGCCTCTGCCTTTACAATTCAAAGGAGTCACTCTCCTATGTAGTGGAAAGTATAGAGAAGAGCAGGGAATCCACACTGGGCAGGCGGGATAATCATTTAGTTCACCTTCCCCTGACGTTAATTTTGGTTAACAAGAGAGGAGACACCAGTGGAGAGACCCTGCATAGCTTAATACAGCAAGGTCAGCAAATTGCCAGTAAACTTCAGTGTGTCTTTCTTGACCCCGCCTCTGCTGGCATTGGCTATGGACGCAACATTAATGAGAAGCAAATCAGTCAGGTTTTGAAGGGACTTCTAGACTCTAAGCGTAACTTAAATCTAGTCAGTTCTACTGCTAGTATCAAAGACTTGGCTGATGTGGATCTGCGAATCGTTATGTGTCTGATGTGTGGGGATCCTTTTAGTTCAGATGATGTACTCTTTCCTGTTCTTCAGTCCCAAACTTGTAAATCTTCCCATTGTGGAAGCAACAACTCTGTTTTACTTGAACTTCCCATTGGAATACACAAGAAACGGATTGAACTGTCTATTCTTTCATACCATTCTTCATTTAGTATCAGAAAGAGCCGATTGGTCCATGGGTACATTGTTTTTTATTCAACCAAACGTAAGGCCTCCTTGGCTATGTTACGTGCCTTTCTTTGTGAAGTGCAGGATATTATCCCCATCCAGCTTGTAGCACTTACTGATGGCTCTGGCTCTATAGATGTCCTGGACAATGACTTAAGTCGGGAACAGCTGATGGAAGGGGAAGAGATTGCTCAAGAAATCGATGGAAGGTTCACAAGCATCCCCTGCAGCCAACCTCAGCATAAACTTGAGATCTTTCACCCATTTTTTAAAGATGTGGTGGAGAAAAAGAACATAATTGAGGCCACTCATATGTATGATAATGTTGCTGAGGCCTGTAGCACCACTGAGGAGGTGTTTAACTCCCCCCGGGCAGGGTCTCCACTCTGCAACTCCAACCTGCAGGATTCAGAAGAGGATATTGAGCCCCCATCTTACACCCTGTTTGGAGAAGACACATCACTGCCCTCTCTGTCCAAAGACCATTCCAAGCTCTCTATGGAACTGGAGGGAAAGGATGAGCTGTCCTCCATGAGCAATTTTGAGAGTAAACTGAACAACAAAGTACCTCCACCAGTCAAACCAAAGCCTCCTGTCCATTTTGACATTACAAAGGGAGATCTGTCGTACCTAGACCAAGGGCATAGGGATGGCCAGAGGAAGTCTGTGTCTTCTAGCCCCTGGCTGCCTCAGGATGGGTTCGACCCTTCTGACTATGCTGAACCAATGGATGCTGTAGTGAAGCCAAGGAATGAAGAGGAAAACATATACTCTGTGCCCCATGATAGCACCCAAGGCAAGATCATCACCATTCGGAATATCAACAAAGCTCAGTCCAATGGCAGTGGCAATGGCTCCGACAGTGAAATGGATACCAGTTCTCTAGAGCGAGGCCGCAAGGTGTCTATGGTGAGCAAGCCAGTGCTGTACAGGACGAGATGCAGTCGGCTGGGGCGGTTTGCTAGTTACCGAACCAGCTTCAGTGTGGGGAGTGACGATGAGCTCGGGCCTATACGGAAGAAAGAGGAGGATCAAGCATCCCAGGGTTACAAAGGGGATAATGCTGTCATTCCATACGAAACAGATGAAGACCCAAGGAGGAGGAATATTCTTCGGAGTCTAAGGAGGAACACTAAGGTAAGGCACCAATTTAGAATAAATCATTGAAATAGCTATACCAGTGATGGTGAACCTTTTAGAGCTGTCAGGGATACGGATAGTCCAGTGTGGCATGGACGTCATAGGTTCCGCACCACTAGTTTATGTAGTGTCTTAGTGAGAGCTGAGTGATAATGACTTTTCAAGAGCATTTTATTCTGGTCAAACAAGCCTGCTCTGTGTGTGTGTGTGTAAGAGAGAAGGAGAAAATAGAGGAAGAGGGAGAAAATTTATTCTTAGATTCACCATTAAAAAGTTAGCAGTGGCTGAGCTTTGTTGTGCACACCTGTAATTCTAGCACTCAGGAGGCTGAGACAGGAGAATTGCTGCAAGTTCAAGGCCAGCCTGAACTGCATAGCGAAACCCAGTCTCAAAAAGACAGGAAAAAAAAAAAGTTTGCCGGGCCTCAGATAATTAGTACTGGCAGCTCTCAACTAGGACCTTGACTACACAGTCTGAGTTGTCTTCCTCTAAAACAGTGATTAACTATCCAGATTACCAGGTAGCACAGAACTTGTCAGCATTCTGACAGGTAGTCAAGCAATCTGCTTGCCCTTTTTTTGTTTTAGAGCTTCTTGGTACATTTTAGATTGACATAAGTGATTACATTCATCACAGGGAATTTGTGTCTGTACAGGATATAACTCGATTATTTTTTCCCCTTCCCTTATCCTTCCTGGCTTGCTCTTTCTTCACTTACACACCAGAATGCAACATTGCATGTCCCAGTCTCTTGATGTGAAACATATTTGTCATCCATATATATCTTCAGTACTCCTTCCCTTGATTTGCAAAGGTGACTGTATTTTAGATTAGTGAGAGATTGGGTAGTTATTTGCCCACACAAACAGTGAAAGGTTTTCTGGTGCACAGATGAAAAAGAATCTTGACAGTAAGACTTCTAAACTTGTCTGTCTCACATTTGTAAATTAGGAATGTCATCTACTTCCATTATTAATATTCTTTGGTGAGTTTTTGCTTTTAGAGCCTCAGATTTTCTTTCAGGATCACAAGTGGGGTAGGAGGCAAAGGAAAGAAGTCAACAGTGCATTATACACATCAGACCTGCTCTGCCAGCTACAGAGGCTGCCATCCCACATGCAGGGGCCAAGGACTTCTCTTGTGTGGAATTGTAGTTTGCAGTTTGCAGGGCAGAGATCTCTAGGTAGCACCTTGTCTTTTTGGGCTTGAGCTCTGAGTTAGAAAAATTATTTCCAGTTTAAACCCCCCTCCCCATTTAGAGTCGGAGAATATACTGTGGTTCCCCCCCACCAAAAGACATCTTAGTGAAAGACTGCAGTAAAAATACAATAACCCTTGACGAGCATTTTAATATACAGAATAGTTTCCTTGTCTTGCAAGTTGTTTTGTTTTGTTTTGTTCACCTTCTCACAAAACAGCAGAGAACAAAGTCACTTGTTTAAGGTATTACAGGGACTTTTGGAAAGAAAAATTTTCAAAAACTTACACTGTTTCAAGATATAACAGATCAGAAGGTTTGCATTCCTGCCTGTCTTGAGAGCTCACAGTTCTTTTGTGATGTACAACATGAGAGGCTGGCTCAGTGTCTCCCAAGGAATTTTATCCACCTGTGCTTCCTGTAATGTGCAGTCAGTTTCCTACCTGTGCAGTGTCGAGATGGGAGGGGCAATGTCTTGTGTGTGCTGGCCCCACCTGATAAATATTAATAAATATCTGTGCATTCTTCTCCCATTTGATTTCCCTGTGGTTGTTTTTCCACTGGAGCTCTTTGTCTGCCTCCAGTATTTTGTTCTCCAGAGGTCAATGGGAAGCAGATCAAAAGCAGTTCTTACTTAGGAAGTAGAAAGCAGCCTCCTGGTATGTTCCCAAAGTGCCCCTATTTAGTAATACTGAAATCCTAACATTTTTTTGTACATTTGGCTTTTGTCTCTTCTACCTCCACTCCCAGTGAACACTGATGCCAGAGCAGCATATCTGAATGCTGCCAGCCTTCTAATTTGTGGGGGTGTTTGCACACCTGGGAATTAAGGAAGTGTCATAATAGTGCACTAAATTACTGTAAAACTGTTTTTTATCCTGCCTTCTGGTGACACTTTTTAATACTTGGTGCAAATGATGCTTTTAAAACACATTCTTAATAAGTCAAGCTTTCACCGGCTCTCCGGTGGTACAGGCTTGGTGCAGACGTGGTGAGCACAGTGGCTCTTGGCGCCTAGAAAGTATCCATGCTCCTGTCAGTGCATTCCATGTGTCAGGAGTCAGTTTAGGAGTATCCTTTGGCAAGAGTGAGTAGAAGGTAAAATCGTTTTTCTGCCTTGGAGAATGGTACTTTGGAATGAATGTAGCTGCTTTGTCATCCCAGGGCAGAACAGGAAAGTCCTTGCCACCAGAGCAAACCTCTACTAACATTGCTGCAGCATAGAATCAGAGCAGAGAATGCCAAGCCGGCCCCTTCATGAGAGAGTTGACCTTTGATTTTATTGGCATGACAAAGCAATACAGTATCTGAACGAGGGGAAAAGCCCTGCAGTCTGATTTCAGTTGGTCATGAAAAACAACTCCTACATGTCCAACACCTCTCAGGAAGTGGCCAGCCCCTGTCATGGCCATGCCTTGGCACCCAGCTGGGACAGCAAGATCTGCACTGCTACTGAAAATGGGTCTTCTGCTCTGACAAGGCTGTGTGAGGACAGAGAGCCCATTCAGGGGACTGGGTTCAGGTAGAGTGGGGTGTAGTGATTAGCAGCTGTAGATGCCAACCTCCCTACCTCCTTGAGTATGCACTTTGGGTATGAGTCACCTCTCTGGGTCCTTTTGTACAAGATAGAGCACCTTCCTCCGGGGTCGTGAGGAATGATGATGGGGCTTGATGTAGGCAGGGAAGCCTTGCTACTCTTGTCAAGTAGCCAGATATAGACCCCAGCACTGGCTCAGGAGGGACCAGGAGGTGGGATAGGCATGCTGTGAACTCAAGAGAAGGAGAACTTAGAGCTGGCCTGACACTCTCCACCTTTTGTGTAAGTTTTAACTCTTTATGTTACTTAGCTTCTTTTTTGGTGCTTACTCTGGCAACCACTCTAACAACAACAACAACAACAACAACAATAACAACAAAGCTATGGTCTGGGTAGCAGTGTGATGAAGAGAAAGAAAAATCCCTTAGCACCCTTTACTAATTTGCTCGATTAGTGCTTCACTGTGAAACTGGAGTCAGTGAGGGATGCGCTTTCATCTCTGCTAATGAAAGTGCAGACTGTAAAGCCCACTCTCTTTCTGGGTCCTTTTCCCAGCGGAACCATTCAGCAACCCGCCCTCAGTGGAAGCCTTCCGCACTCAGCTGAATGAAACTGAAACTCTGTGATTGCACTTCAGCAGGGGCCATGAATAGAGCTTTGTCCCAAGCGGTGGTGCTGCACATGGTCTCTGTCTCCCAGTGCCATGTACTTGCAAAGACGAGATCAGGATCGGTGGCTCTTATTCTAAAGCCAGAAAAGAGGCTGGGGAGCCTTACTCCACAAATGTGCCTTTGGGGCTTGCTCAGATTGCTGAATTTGGGGTGTTTGACCATGATTTAAAAAGAAGACATTATTGGCTTCAATCTGATGTGTTCTTATATTATATATATATTGAAAGCTAAGTGATAAAGAAAATCTTTCACTTCACTATAGCTGCCAGATGACAAGACAACCTATTGAAAAGCCAACCGATTCAATCACGCATTGTTTGGTCTGTAAGGCACCAAGTAACCAGTTTGACAGTTTGTGTGTGTCTTCCCACCCCCAGTGAATTGGCTTATTTCATGGGATACAGTGAATTGGCTGGTTGTTGTGGCTTTGTGTGGACACAGCTCTCATTTTGTGAGGCCTAGAACAGAGTTAAAGTTTTAGTGTGAATAAAAACCAGCTGGGGAATTGGACTGCTTGCTCCTCTGGGAGGGATGTTGATTTTTGACAGACAAGCTAAATGCTAAGAGATATGAGTTCTTTGTAACCTACCAGGAAAGACTCAATGTGTGCTTCAGGAAAGGCTAGTGCTATTCAGTGAGCTTTAAAACCAAATAAATCCTTGGTCTTAAAAATACTGTATTTGCCAGATGTAGTAGCTGTTTGGGAAGCTGAGGCAGGAAGATTATAAGTTTGAGGCCCATCTGGGTTACTTAGCAAAACTGTTCCTCAAAATAAAATTAGAAAAAATCTAGCTGTAGCTCAGTGTAAAATCACTTACTTAGCATATGTGAGGCCTGGAGTTTAATCCAGTTTTAAAACAAAACCAAAAAAACCCCACCAATTTGACCTTGGCTTTCTGATTCCTGAAATAGTTTTATCGTCCAAAGGAAGTGCTCTGGCAGCAGCACATAAGCTCATTCTTTCTCTTTGGAAGGAAACACTGATTTCAGTGCATGAATGTCCAGCAAGCACTTGTTCGTGCCTGACATTGTTGTGGGTGACTTAGATGTGTGTGTTACATTCAGCCGGTTTTTAGGGGGTGATGCATGTTGAGTATATAGTACAAGTGTTTCTCAGTACCAGAGAGAGGTACAGGTACTGAGGAATTGTTTAACAAGAAAGCTTAGCCTAAACTAAACAGCTAGGAAAGCTTCCCAAGGAAACAATATTTATTTATTTATTTTTTGGTACCGAGGATAGAACTCACGACCATGCACTTGCAAGGCAGGCACTTACGCTGCTGAGCTAAATCCCCAGCCCAAGGAAACGATATTTAAAGCTGAGACTTGTAAAGGGGGAGGCAGGCAAAATCAGGAAGAGGAAGGCTTCTGGAGAGAGTTTCCCAGGAAAAAGTGTGGCCCTCAGAGCTGAGTAAACAGGACCTTTGAAACTGTCACAGAACACCTGTTCCTGGCCTGGCTCTGCACAGACAGGAGCGAGAACCAGGCTGAACATTGGAAGGTGCACTTACTTTCTGGTATTTATTGAATACTTACTGTGTGCCAGGCCTTCTGCCAGACATTTCCAGAGCGCCGTTTCTCTTACTCCTCT